TTTTTAATAACATTGAAGGTTTTATTGATTTTTTTCGATTTGATTGTATTCATTTTTTCTCAATTTCGGTTCGGTTTGATTTAATATAGTTGGGAAGAAATACTACCAAACTCAAAATAAAGGGAAACTATAAAATATGTACTCGTAGTACAGTAAAAACAGCAATTAACGCCTGGTACTATATAAACACCCACTAATGCCTTTAAACTCTCAAATATCAGCCAAAATTAAATTTTAGACGGTCAATAACAGAGAATTTAATATCTCGTTTAATATCTCGTTGAAAAGATCTTACCGAGTTCTAAAACTTGTCTTTAGGCGCTGGTTTCAAAATATCAAGGGATGATTGTCTAATTACTAAAATACACTGTATTTACGCTAAAAGTGCTCTATTTACGCTGAAAATGCTAAATCTTAGAGATAAAGCTAAGTATTTGTGACAGTCATATCTTGCTGTGTGTTCTTGCGTTTAGAGCGTATTATATCTCGTTGGAAAGATATTTTGGAGCTCTAAAGCTATTGTTCCAATTTCATTTACAATGCATTAATTAAAAGTTACAGATTAACCATATATTCATAAATATTTATGATTTCACTCTGAACTTGTGTAGAATTTGATACGATCATATCTTGCTCTATTTGGTTCCGTTGGAAGCGTTTAATATCTCGTTGGAAAGATCTTACCGAGTTCTAAAACTTGTCTTCAAGCGTTGGTTTCAAAATATCAAGGGGTGATTGCCTAATTACTAAAATACATTGTATTTACGCTAAAAGTGCTCTATTTACGCTGAAAACGCTAAATCATAGAGATAAGGCTAAGTATTTGTGACACTCATATCTTGCTGTGTGTTCTTCCGTTTAGAGCGTATTATATCTCGTTGGAAAGATAACTTGGTGCTCTAAAGCTATTGTTCCAACTTCATTTACAATGCATTAATTAAAAGTTACAGATTAACCAAGGAAAACGTCGTTATTGGCCCCAAGGAAATGGAATAGATCACAACAGATAATTATTGAAATAGCTACACACGCGGCTCATCCAACATGGTGAACAATGAACACAGTCGTAAAGATGAAAACTTCATTTTTTTATTTAATTTTGATTTGATCCATCTTCTTCATTTTTTTGTTCTCTCCTAATCTCAAAAACTCATTCGAGAGAGCGCCAATCCTTCATCAACTTCTTGTTCTTCTATTCTTCCACCCATAAAACGTGGACTTTCTTTTTCTTTATTTTATATTCTTTCTCTTTCCCTACCCAGAAGACTAGATTGAAAGTTATATCAGTTTACCCGGCCACCTCCGCCACTAACTTGTTTTCTCTTTATTGTGTCATCGCCTTCTTTGATTTTCTTCCTCTCTTCTCCCATGTTTTATTTGTTTGGAATTACACTACTAATACTTGAAGGAGACTGATTAATAGTTATTTTTGGTTGATCTAAAAGTTTAAGCGATGAGATCTAGTGTTTGATTTTATAAAAGAATAAGAGAGTAGATAAATCTACAATGATTTATAAAATTCTCAAAATACTCGAGTAACTATATTAACCCGTAGTGACTTATAACATTTATGAGTTAGTGGAACATGTTGAGAATATTTTTTAATAATTGTGATAATTTTGAAATAACAGATACTTTATATTATTTCAAACAAATCACTAATAGTTGAGATTAATCTAATCCATTTTCCCCCACATAAATCACATATAAATTCAATTTCAGTTATGTTAAGGCTAAAAAAATGGGCCTTTGATGTACGAAATATTTTGATTGGGTCGAAAAGCCTTCCGAAACTACGAAGAAACAGAAAAAGCGGCCCACAGTTTGTTTCTAAACCGATTCAACGTTCGTCGAACTTCCGATTCACGCATGTCGTAGCTCCCGAAAATGGCTGCCGCCTGTATACGAAGACTCGCCTCGCATATCTCCCGGAATACCTCCCCCACCCACTCTTTTGGAGCCACCACCGTCACCCGTTCTTCCGCCTCCTTTGCGATCTCCTCACCGCGGACTTCTTCCGCCAAGGTTTCCGACCGGATCGTGAATCTCTTTGCAATCGATCCCGATGGTCAGAAGCGCAACGTGATCGGACTCTCCGGCCAGACGCTTCTCAAGGCTCTGGCCAACCATGGATTAATTGACCCGGCTTCCCACCGTCTCGAAGATATCGATGCCTGCTCTGCTGAGTGCGAGGTCCACATCGCGCAGGAGTGGCTCGAGAAGCTCCCGCCGCCTACGTACGATGAACAGTACGTTCTCAAGAGGAACTCTAGGAATAAGGTTTTGAACAAACACTCCAGACTCGGATGCCAGGTTGTCCTCACTCAGGAGCATCAGGGCATGGTCGTCGCTGTCCCTGAGCAAAAGTCTTGGGATACTCCTTAAAGGACTGAAGCTCTGCAAGGTTTGTCATATTTAAATTGTATTGTTGTTTAGCTCTTAATTTGAATAATATGTAAACATTGCAAGGCACCTGAAAATATTATCATTTCATTGTGACAATTTATGGACTTTCCTGGAACTCATTTATTTCTATTTGCTAAGCCCTTTTTTGTTTATAGCAGTTCACAGTGCGACATTTTGATATCAAGCTAATTAAGATTTCAGAACCAATTTATAGCATTACTGTGTCACTGTGTGAACAGATGAACCTTATTCGCAAAACTGGTAAAAAGAACCAGCCTTTACTAGTAGTTTTAATACTAATAAGCTATTAACTAAGATCTGAGACTCTGAGGATCCTCACTTGATTGTGGGGTTAAGTGTGGGGTCTCAATGTGGGCTTTAAGTCTGAGAGTGCTGAAATCTTGGCTGTCCAATCAAAATAAGAAGCCGGGCGGATCGGGGGAGACAAGCACAGAAATTGAATCAAACATATTGTCTGAGATCCCAATAAGTTTGTGGTTCTTTATTTTTCCAAAGTTGAGCCTTTGAGATATGAGTCTGATATTATCCTAGATAAATGGTTTAGAGATATATGGTCCCTGTTTGGATGCTTCATTTTGTTTTGCAGTCAGCTTATGGTTGTTTCTTCTTTGGCATTGTGGTGTGTGTTTTGTTCTTGACTGTAATATGCAGCTTAATAAATCCATGCTTTGGCCATTCATATTCAGTTTGTCTTTAAGTAGTATTCAAGTATTCACAATTTCTTGTGTATATGAGTTGCTTATATTTACTTACAACTTGTTTCATCTCAATGCAAAGTTGCAAACATGGTTTGTAGCTCTGAGTCTGTATGCATCAACTACTTGTATATATGTATTTTATTTTTATGTAATAGTTAGATTGGTGTTAATCAGTTCATGATTACTGATGAGCCGAAGGATTTCCTGATGGATATGGCCTCACGGGTTTGGTATAAACAAGTTGAAAAATGCTAGAAGTACAAACACACTTACAAAAAAACTTACAAACAAGTGATGTGGCTATTCTAATTACCATTGATGTAAAAGTGTTGTAAATGTGATGTGATGTGTTAAATAATGTGATGATGCCACGTACCCCTTTTGTAAGACTTTTTGTAAAAGTGTTTTACCTCTAGCATAACTCAAACAAGTTCCCTTCCCACCATAAGCTTTCGTCCCTAATTTTGTAAGTGCAGAAATACATGTCATAAGTACATAGTGGCTGTGACAATGCAGTGTCGAGCTTCTGACTTTTCATTCAGTAGCTTTAAGACTTTTGTAATATTAAATCAAGCTTCCCTTTTCATTCATTCACGTACCCCTTTTGTAAGACTTTGTAAAAGTGTTTGTACCTCTAGCATAACTCAAACAAGTTCCCTTCCCACCATAAGCTTCCGTCTCTAATTTTGTAAGTGCAGAAATACATGCCATAAGTACATAGTGGCTGTGACAATGCAGTGTCGAGCTTCTGACTTTTCATTCAGTAGCTTTAAGACTTGTAATATTAAATCAAGCTTCACAAGCAAGTGGTTCTAGCTTGCTTTTGAGCAGAGCTCAATTCCGGAAAGACAGGTCTGTCGAAGTCAGGTTTAGAACTTGTAGTGTCCTTCATCTCGATTACCCACTTTCATTGCATAAAATATACTCCCTCCGTCCCACTGAATTTTGTCAAATTTTCTTTTTTGTTTGTCCCAAATAACTTTGTCAGTTTCCTTTTTAAGCAATGAATTTGTGGCTCTCTTCATTTTTCTCTCATCTGCACTAGCTTCAACCACAATTTTTACTATACTAATTTCACACTCAACATGAACTTGACAAAGTTGAACGAGACAAAGTTAGTATATTCTTTGCTCTCACAAGCCCACAGAGGCCAACAATACTCTTATTCCCCAGCTTATCATAATTAATTCAACATGGGAGTTGGTTACTGGCAGTAACTTACTGCTAAGCACCCACAGGGCCACAGCCATGAGAAAAAACTCTTCTTAGTGTTGTCTCATGTCTATGAGGCTTCCCACATTTCCTTTAAAGAAGGGTTAGGTAACAAAGTTTGAGTAACCTCAGGCGGTCAGGCCTGCATCCCTTAATGTTTCACGGCCATTGAGCTTCTAAGTTCTAACATGTCATAATACAAATGTGCATCATACTTTCTTTTTAAGTTGCATACTACGAGCATATTAAAAAAGCTAATGCCTCCATCTCACTAAACTTTTGCAGCTTTATTTTGCTGCTTCAAGGAAATTGATACAAGCTCACATAATTACATTAAATGACATATAATATATTAAACAAAAGTGTTTCTTAATAGATAGACTTGGACTCGGGCCGGGTGGCCCGACCCGGAACCGACCCGGGACCGTTACTGTTCCGGCCCGGACCGAACCGGTGGCCCGGTCAGTGACCGGTCCGGGTAGGCCCGACCCGATGTGTTTCAGGTCCTGGCTCGGGTCACCCACAACAAGGCCGGGCCCGGTTCGGGTCAAGTTTATTTTTATTTTTTGTTTTTTTTTTTCATTTGTTTGGGCTCCACCCGGATTGGGCTTGATGTTTGGGAGGGGTTTGGGGGGTTTGGGGGGGTGGGCGGGTCAGGGATGGGTAGAGCCGTAGAGGTAAGCAAAAAAAAAATTAATCAAACCTGAGGCCCAGCCCGGCCTGGACCTGGACCGGACCCAGTGGCTACCCGGGCCGGTCTTGGGTCCAGTTATTCAGAACCGCTGGCCCGACAGGGCCTAGGCCCGGCCCGAGTCCAAGTCTATTAATAGTTCTTGAGTTGCATCTCCGCATCCAAAATCAGCCACAACTAATTAGGCGTTGTGATTTTGAGCCATTTCATTAATCTGTATATTACTCCGTATTAACTAGCTATTCAGGCCAAAAGACAAAGATGAATTTGTGCTAGTTGGCATAAGAAGCATAGCAAATGGCTTTGGTGGATGAAGGAGAGGAAGCCACAAGTTTCCGGCATTGCTTCTCTACCTTCCTCTTAGGCGAGGTCGTGAGGAGAAGGGAGTACTGAGCTCACTAGCGATACAAGGTTGTAGTGTTGATGAGAGAGATGAGGGCTATCTCGGGAATAAAAATTCGGGAAATGATTGATTGAGTTCTAACACTATAACCCTTAGCGATCATGTGTAGTCATTCAAACAAACTTGACTACTTTAATTAAATTTGACTGGATTTGGAAAATTTCAACCCTTTTCGTAGGGATGGATTCGGTTCGGGCCACCCGGCCCGTGACCCGGCCCGGCCCGGTACTGTGCGGGCCTGGGACCGGCCCGGTCGGGCGGTCCGGGACCGGGTATGGACCCGAACCGATGGGAAGGGGCGGGGCGGGCTCGGTTCAGGATTATTGTGACCCGGCCGGGTCGGGTCCGGGCCCGGGTCCGGGTCTCTTTTTAAAAATTAGAGGTTATAGTCGCAAAACGGTTAAGAAAGAAATTTCAAGGCTTTATGGTGCGGAAAAGGTAAGGTTACAAAATTATTTTGCAAACTTTGATGGACGTGTTACTGTATGTTCTGACATATGGGAGGATACTTATCATAATTTACATTATTTGGGTCTGACTGTACATTATATTGATAATGATTGGCATATGCATAAACGTGTTCTTGCTTTCCGTGAATTTAATGATCGTCACACCGCTGAACATATTTATATTTTGATTGAACGTATTTTAATTGAGTATAATTTAATTGATAAGGTGTTTGCTATTGATTTTGATAATGCTACTAATAATACTGCTGCTATTCCTAGATTGCGTGAATTGTGTGGTTCTACTTCTTTGATGGGTAGATTTTTCATCAACGATGTGCATGTCATGTTCTAAATTTATGTGTGCAAGATGGTCTAAAAGCGTTGGGAGCATCGTTGGAGGTAGTCAAGGGGGGATTAGACGTAATTGGGGTAATGGACACCTTAGGAAAAAATGGCATGATTATTTGATAGAAAGAGGTGAGAGATATGTGGCTTTTCCAAAAGATTTGTCTATTCGTTGGAATAGTACCTATAAGTTAATTGGAGTTTTCTTAGATATAAACAACATTTTCCTGCTTTTATGAAACAATATGATAACTATATTATAAACTTGGCTGAGATCGACACCTGTGAAAAAATTTGTAATGCTTTGATATATTTTAATAATGCAACTGAAACTTTTAGTCATGTTTATAAACCTACCTAAAACCAATTTATTCGTGAAGCTGTTAATCTCGCCGGTGCTTTTTCAAATTTTGAGAATGCTGATTATGTGAGTTATTTTGCTGGTTTTATGAAGGAAAAGTTTTTAAAATATTATTCACATATTCCGCATATTTATGGTATTGCATTTGTTCTCGATCCTCGTTTTAGACTTGGTTATTTAGAAGAATGTTTGAATTATTATTATGCTGCTTTTTTGGTCCATTGCCAATGTATGAGGACAACCCAATTGATTCGAAAAAGGAATACAACGAGGTTAGTGATATATTTTATGCATTATTCAATGAGTTTCATGCACAATATGGCAATGCGCCCCCTCCCCCGACACAAACATCATCTAAAGGAAAATCAATTTTCAAATCTACGTTTGCCAATCTTATTAAAAAAACAAAATCAACTCCCGCTACACAACAAAGCACAATTAATGAGATTTCTTTGTATTTAACTTATGATGTTGATTTTGAAGAAGATGATGATTTTGACGTACTAAACTGGTGGAAGGGAAAAGAAAGAATGTTCCTGGTTTTAGCAAAGATGGCTAAGCAAGTGCTATCAATGTCGGTTTCAACGGTTGCCGTGGAACAAGAATTTAGTTCGGCCGGCAATGTTCTAACACAAACCAGAACGAGGTTGAGCGCTGAATCTCTTGAGATGCTTATATGCTACCACGATTGGTTGAAAGCAGCACGTAGAGCTCAAGAAATTGACATCACTTCATCCCAACACTTTATGGATGAATCTACAGAGGGTGGCTCTACTTATGCCGGAGATTCCGATTAAAAACAATTATAGTTCCTATTTAATTTTCAAATGTAGTTCCTATTTCATTTCAAATAAATGCACTTGAAGTTTGTTTTTTAATACTTGTATAAAACTATAAAGTATAAAATATAAATTAAAAAAAAAAATTAACCGGCGGGTGGCCCGACCCGTGACCCGGGCGGGTGGCCCGGCTCGAACCGGACCCGTCCAACCCTCGGGCCGGTCCCGGGCCCATGTGATATGAACCGGCGGCCCGACCGGGCCTAGGCCCGGCCCGAATCCATCCCTACCTTTTCGAGCTGAATGAATGTGTCAAAAACATAGACGTAGTAGAATATTCTCATACTACGGCTATTATTGCAACAAAAAAATGAGTTTATGAGCATTTAACTTAAAAAAATTGAAATAAGTATTTTCAAATGATAGCTCCTACTTAAATTAAACACCTATAACAACTAAAAGCTAGATAATACATTTTACTTAAGTGGATGAAGGAGAGTAGGGATGGACCCGGTCCGGTCCCGGTTCCGGTCTGGTCCCGGTTCCGGGCCGGGCCCGGACGGGCTTTTTTTGCTAATACTTGGGCCCGGAACTGATCCGGGTTGATATCAGGTCCGGGTCTAACCGGGCCGGGCCGGGCCCGGTTCAATGTCTAATTTTTTTTGGGTTTCTTGTTATCCCCCGACCCCCCCCCCCCCTCACCTCCACCCCCAAACCTCCCTAAAACACCCAGCCCTACACTAGGAAAAGAAAAAAAATTGAAAAAAAAAATGACCTGGGCCCGGCCTGAACCGCTCGGGCCGGTTCGCCCAAAACTGGGCCTGAGCCCGGCCCGCCCGACCCGCCCAAACGGGCTAAAAGCCCGGAACCGGCCAACCGGTCCCGGTCCGGCCCGGGCCCGCACAGTAGCGATTCCGGGCCGGTTCCGGCTCGGGCCGGCCCGGTTTAGTCTATCCCTAAAGGAGAGGAGGCCACAGGTCTGACATTGCTTCTCTCTCTTCTAGGGGTGGATTCGGGTCGGGTCCGGGTCGGGTCTATACCCGGGCGGGCTGGCGGTTCTGAATAGGTGGACCCGGGACTGACCCGGGTAGCCACCGGGTCTGGGCCGGACCGGGCCTCGGGCTTTGTTAATTTTTTTTCTTGCTTACCTACCTATCCCCTCACCCCCCACCCCCAAACCCCCCAAACCCCTCCTAAACATCAAGCCCAACCCGGGTGGAGCCCAAAAAATGAAAAACAAAAAAACAAAAAAATCAAATTGGCCCGAACCGGGTCCGGCCGGGCCGATCCCGCACAGTAGCGGACCGGGCCAGTTCCCGGGCCGGGTGGCCTGAACCGAGTCCAGGACTACTCTCTTCCATGGCTCCTCCTTTATATATATGTGTGTGCAAGCAAGCAAACAAACAAACGTAATAAAGCTTTGGTGATGAGAAGGGAGTACTGAGCTTACTAGCGATACAAGGTTGTAGCATTGATGACGGAGAGGAGGGCTATCTCGGGAATAAAAAGCCGGGAAACGATCGATTGAATTCTAACACTATATCCCTTAGCGTTTAAGTTCAGTCATTTATGAAAAAATATAATTAAAATATATTTTATTAGTAAAATAAAAAAACTATATGAAAACTGTTAAATGACTTTCTTGAGTAACTTGAGCCAATGCAGTTAGAAAAGTAACTATAACATTATTAGGAAAAATGGGCGGTAACAATCTCAACTATAAGTAATATGCTTGAAATAATCCAAAGTATCAAATATCTCAAAATAATCTCAACTATTGAAAAAATATATCTCAAAATACTCCTGGAATAATTAATAATAAGTAAATGATTTATGATATTTTATGGCCCCTGAAGTATTTTAAGATTTTTTTAATAGTTGGGATTATTTTGAGATAATGATACTTTGAATCATTTCAAACAGATCACTAATAATTGGGATTATTCTTGTCCATTTTTTCCTTTGATTATTACACAATTCAGCACGTCAGATCAAAATTTACTTTGTTTGATAAAAAGTTGGGTGATAAAATTAATATGCCGTAAAGTATCTCCAAACGGGATCATACACTAATTTTAGTAATTCGCATAAGGTAATTCTATTCACAGCCTTCATATTCAGCCACTAAATTAAATATTAATAATTACAAATAATTCTAATGTCTAAATAACCCTAAACCTTAGTAAAATAATTCTAATGTCTAAATAACCCTAAACCATGTATTAACGACCTTTCGTTGAATGCGCTGCTGAGGATATCAGCTTCATCGTCACTCACCACCGCTTGGCCCCTAAATCTTCAGTTTCTCTTTTATTTCTTTGTTGCAGATGAAGCCGGGTAGAAGGATAGCGTCAAGCATTCGAGCCATTTGTAGCTCTGGCTTTTAGTTCGCACCTATTGTATATGAGAACATGAATAATTAACAGAAATCTGGAAACAAAATTCCCAATTTATAGAGCAAATTTTAGAAACGGTGCAAAATCCACCTTAATTTTCATTTTTTATTGGGGGCTGGAGTAGATTATTCCATGTCAAATGTTCAGCCGAACACTAAAGTAAAACCAGAAAAATGTTCAACCGAATCTCCAATTACTCGCCCAGGAGATACTTTCAGTTTCGTTGATCTTCACGGGCACATGGTTGGATCACATTTTCCCCAGTGTATGTGTATAATATATTTGCTGTTGTAATACTTGTCATAATTCCTCTGTTATTCAAGTTCACTAATAATTTAAGAAATAATCAAACTAATCCTCCTTCTAAGCCCTACAAAATTTTCTTCCATACAAGAGTTGGTTTATGAAGTTGACTTGGGATAAGTCTATTTATGGATAAGATCTTGAACTATTTTTGTCACATTAGCATACAACAAGCAAAAAATGAAGATGTGTTGGGCAATTTTTTAACATTGAATTTATGGTTCCTCACATTCAAGATTTCTAAATTGATCCATATGGCTTCCCTGCAATGAATGTAGAAGATGTTATGTTGCTGGACAATGGTTGACCTATGTAGGTGTGAAGTCGAAGCATATCTGTACTTGAATTAGAATATTTCCATGGAGATTTGATGCCTAAGTCCCCTGGCTCATGTTCCATGGAGATCATGTGATCGTTCTTTGAAGTTTGACCGATATATCATTGAGCACCCCAGATTACACCACAGAGATTATTGTTTGATGTGTATTTGAAGGAGTCCCAACTTCTTGGTGCTCATTGTTGTTCAAGATGAGAGCCAAAAATCTAAATTGATTATGTATTAGAGATGCTAAATCAAGGGGCATATACACAGCCACCTAAAATGCATCTGTGAACAAGTTCTATTTTTAGATTTTTACAAAAATGTTTTATTTTATGAATTTGGAGATGATTCAAAATGTTAAGTATTATGGAGTATTATACATAACTTTAGTTCTAAATAGATTTCAATCTTTTCTAGAGCAGGCAACAATGCCAACAAATTTGGAAGAAAATTATGAAACTATATCACTCGTAAAAGCTCTACCATAAGAGTATAAGACATTGAGATGGTTACCTCCAAAGAAGAATGCAAACCTTTGACCAACAAACAGGTATTTCAGAAGTTGGTTTCCCCCAACAGCCCAACTTCTAAAAAACTACTTCTAGGAGTAATTTGGAGTACCCAAAGGTATTTCTACAATTTCACCCAAATACTCCAATATCTTCTTCTGCCTCCTGAGGGAGCAGAAACAATTTTAAGAAGCAGATCCAAACACCCCTAAGGCTGGGGTGTTGTTGAGACAAAACCGAGACGCACACATAATCCTTAGAATCAACTCACAAGTCACAAGTCACAACTCACAAGACACCCAATCCACCTACAAACTGCCATTTTTTGGTTTCATTTAACAACCCTATTCTTAAAATCTCATCTTTGCCTAGACAGAACTAACTCTACGATTTTCTATAGATCACACCTAGACAGAACTAACTCTACGATTTTCTATATGGCTCAACGTTCTTTTAAACATAAACTGAGATTTGAAGGTGTCTTTGACAAACATGCAACTTCACATCAACTTTATCCGAACATACAAAGTTTCGCTGCCATTACCAGATTGGATCAGAAGTATAGGTAGATAGCATCTAGCTATAGTTTAAACATAACACAATTTCATCACATAGAACTAAACTATAAGACCAGTTAGGAAGACCAAAATGATCATTCCAATGATTGATCAAAGCTCCGGTTCCTCATAAACCGCCAATGCAGTTCGAGCAGATCAAAACCCTTGTGTGTGCTTTGCCAGCTCAGTCTACAGAAATGTCAAAAGACAGGGTGATCATGAATTGTATTAACAGAATAAATATAACCCAAACCTTTAATAGAACAGAACCACCATCTATAAATATAACCTAAATCTTTCCCTAGCATTTAATCGGATCCAAACATACCCTAAAATAATAGGAATAAGAAATTAAGTCATTCAAATGTCAGAAAAGCATAAGAAATAGAGCCCATCATCGAATCACCAGTCCCCCAAAAAAGAGCGAATGTCACAACAGCATAACAAATGAGTCCAACAGCCCACAGCAAAAAGATTGAATGCACTCATATGTGACCCAAGTGACTAATTTTCCATTGAGATCTCAAAACCTGGCTTAGACAAAGCTAATGTAATTACATGCATACTGTTTGGAACACACCAAATAAATGTAGTGCAGAATGACATACATATGATTTTACCATGATTTAGATGTTCCATGTTATCAGATCCCAAACTCTTTTGGGACTAAGTCACTAGGCTTTGATGTTGTTGTTAGATGTTTTGCGTTTTAATCAGAATTTGTTTATAATTTCAAGTTGGTCCTGGGAAAAAAAAACAGTGAATGGCGATCTATGGGAGCGAAAAACACAACTGTGATAATACACAGTATATGGTTACATGCATGGGCGTACAAAAATTGTGTACAATTTGGAGAAAACCTTTATTTTGTATTTAAATTTTCATTCAAAAAGTTTTTCTTACCGGCCCAACCCAGTATTATTTTTGGCCATGCCACTGGTCACATGCATGTCATTGTAAACTCTTTAATTAACTGTATCACAGCAAAATGCAGATATCGTGTTTCATCCCGGGCATAAACAAACATGTAACTTTTATAAGAGCAACTTTCAATCAGCAACAAGTAATTGCATTAGAGAATTGCCAAATGATGTCAATAGAATGTTAAAAACAAAGACACACTTCAAATTGGTTTTTCAAGTGATCCAGCTCCTTGTCAAGATCATTAATAGCCTGATTATAAGCCTGCATTGGCGAAGACTGGCTAGTTGTTTGAATCTGCAAATAGAGCATTTAAAAAATCAGCATTGAAGAGACATAAGTTACTAGGATACATAACAATCATTTTCATTTACCCCAGTGCCGCAAAGGCTCCCGCCTACGGTGGGGTAAGGGGGGTCAGATGTACGCAGTCTTACCCCTGTACTAAAGCACATAACAATACATAGCAAAATTGGAAAACAAAAAGTTTAAAAACATTTTAAAGAAATATAAAAATAAGTGAAGCAGTAATGAAGAAACAGACAAGAGAATGACTTGCCCTAAGAATGATCTTATACTGAAGAGGGTGAGGTAACTTGTAACCAGAAAAGAGAACATTCTCATCCCTGTGCAATTGCCTGCATACACAACATATTCACCACAAGACCACAAAAGGAATAAAAAACTAGGTGTTATAGTAGTTACCTTAGGCGATGTTTGTATCACGGAAAATGCTAGATAAGGGAAACAATGCTATGCAGGTGATTTTGTTGTGTTTAATGTGCCATTGAAAATGACCACTGTTGTTTTTTACGTAGTATTATTTTTAAATAATATAGATCTCTAAGTCTTGACATATAGGCACGCTGATACATAAAACATATATCTAAAAACGCCCCTCCCCATTCCTAACTTTTGTGTAGTTTCCTTCCACAATTTCTTAAACTAGCTCTAAATGCACCCTTCAACAAAGGTGGAGCAAATTACATGCGTAGAATATTGCCGATGGTGTGGTCTTCCCTCTCGACAGTTAAAGTAGCAGCATTGATGATCTTTGTGTCCCGCTCATATGAAACCCTAGCGAGAGAAAGCAGAGAATAAACACACAAGAATAACTGAATTAAAAATTCATAAGATGAATTGCATGATAAGAAAGAACAAGACAAACAAAGGAAGCATACTTCTTAACGCCTTCAGGGACGACGAATCGCTCGTAACGATCAGGAGCATTCATTTTCCTTTTGTTCTTATCTGGCCTCTTCTTCTCCTATGTAGTGGCTGTTTGGCACAAAAAACAACCCGAACACAGACGAATCTCTTTATTAGGGCAAGTTCGTTTGATAGTACTAAAATTGGTTGAATAAATTCTAGCCGATGGAACAGATTGAATAAGCTTTACTATGGAAAAATTACATTTAAATATATTTCATTAATAAAATTAAAAAAAAAAACACATTTGAAAAAATAGTTCAAATTATTTTGATTTTCCTCTACTTTAAACTTTGGCCAATTCAGTAGAAACCTTCAATTTTGCTTATTTTGGTTATAACCAAATTTAAGGCGTTAAGTCAGATATTAAGTGTTTAATTAAACAATTGGCTAATTAAGGGTTACCAAACAACCTCTTAATCTTGGAAAAAATGAAACTAACAGAAAAGGGTAAAAAAGTAGAAACTATTGAGTACAAAGTATGGATGAAGATTGAAAAAAATGAAGTGGTGAAGGAATACCTACCGGAAGTGCTGTCTGCCGGCGGAGGGAATGACCGGAGCAAACGAGAAGAGGAGGTAAGGTGGAGGGAAAGCGAGTCGAAGTCTGAAGCGTGAAAATTTGCCGACTTTGCAAACGGGTCGTGGGCTAATTAAAAATTCTGGGCTAGTTAACACATAGGCCTATTTGGGAATTATATATTTGGGCTCGAGCCCAACTTAATACTGTTCCATCTATTATGACTGCCTTTCGCTTCAACCATTCGACAATTCACCACTCCCATATCATCAAACCAGTGAAGCAGGTATTCTCTTTTGGTTTTTACGCTCCATTTTCATTCTTTCTTCGCAGCTTCAAATTCCAACTTTGTTAATATTCTTAAACAAAATTGGGTTTTGTTTCAATCATCCGGATATGAAACCCAATTATGAGATGATGATGATTTTACCATTGATGAAATATTGAATTGTCGAAACTCCAAATCTGAAACATTACCCTAGTACCGTTCAGATGTTCTATTAACCCAAAGAATCTGGGTCTCTAAGCATTCCTCAGTTTCGAGACTCCAAATCTGAAGGTTGCTAATTTGATGAGCTTGCCGCCTAGTCTCATGTTGTTCTTTTTTATGCATGATTTGAAGAAAGGAAAAAAAATTAATTGAGTAGACTGGGGATCTAATATCAAAATATGTCCGAGAGAATGGGGCTTGTTCTGCAACATTGCTATGGTCTTAGAAACTTCCTCAATACAAGATAGCAAACAACCTTTTGTTTTTCACTGAACTCCTTTTTTCCTCCTAAAATGACAGTGTTGAATTGGTGGAGCTATCTAGCAAGATGGACAAGAGCATGCTAAGTGACATGGACAGTCTTTCCGAGGAAGATAAGACTCGTATGTCTGTTATGATCGATCAGCTCCAAATCCGTGACAGGTTCCACTCCTCTCTTTGTATGCATGATATCTTTAAGCTTCATGAGTCATGACATAGTAGCATTTTAACTCATCATGCTCATTGTTCATGGCTATAACAATTTTTTGTTCTCATTAGTTGGGATTTTGTAGTTACAGAAAGTGATATTAATCAGGGAAAGAAAGATGGTCTTTTGTTAAGTTTGAAATTGTGATATACAGTATATATTATAGGAGCGTTCTTTAGCACCAAACCACTTGAGTAGCAATTAATCTAGAATACTATATTGAGCAATCGAGAATATTTAAAAAGCGAATCAAAGTTACCATCAACAGAGTGCTTTGTAAACGAAGGAGAAATCATAGAGACAATATACATATTTATATGTAGAGATATTACCTGAAATAAGACTAAAACAGTTTGAAAATTCCAAAATAGGATTGACATATTTTTATTCCCAAAATAGGACTAATTACTACCATGTTTTGGCCGTACCAGAATTCAAACATGTTAGTATTTTCTAAACATGGCAGTAATTAGTCTTATTTTGGGAATAAAAACATGACAGTCCTATTTTGGAATTTTGAAACTGTTTTAGTCCTATTTCGGGAATTTTCCCTATGTAATGACTTTCAGGACTTTCCAAATTTGTATATCAGGTCCTAATTTTTCTCTATTATCATAGTGCCTCCAAACTTGAAAAAAGATGTGGGAAAAAAATAAGAATTTCAAAAACAACAAAAAGAGGAAAGACGAACGTGAGTACTTTTAAAGAAAACTACGGAGTATATCCAAAAATGAGGACAAAAATGTCATTTTCTTTCTTTTTATGAACTCTTGGCCATAGAGTATTATATGCACTGTTTTTAAAAGTCCTCATTAATAACTGGTTCGGCTCACGTAATCAGATAAGTTTGTGTTTGGTAAGAAGAGTTACTATAGCCAGAAAAACATGTCAATGTAGCCCACACTAATACATACTCCGTATTAAAGAGAAAAGGGTCAAATAAGGCCTTCTACTATTATGAAGTAATCACGTAAGGCAATGTACTCAATAAAGTGTCATATAAGTACCTCTACTTGTAAAAAACAATCAAATGAGTCATAATGACCTATTTAACACCTCTTAATCCCGGTTTCAACGCACTTCTGACCATCTTTTTAGAATATATTATACGACATATGTCGAATATTTAACTAAGATCGGTTGAAATACAAGTCAAAAAAATCGACATGTAAGCTAAAATCAGAATTAGAAGGTGTTATATAAGCTGTTAGGTCTCATTTGATTGTTTTATAAAAGTATAGTTACTTATATGACACTTTATTGAGTTCATAATAGTAGAAGGCTTTATTTGACCCTTTTCTCTATATTAAACGATGGCTTTGGTACATTTGGAGTGAATTACCTTTTTGAACTGTTGATATATTCAAAGATAATCTTTGAATATAAAAAATCCAACTAACATTTGAGGCAGGCAGTGAACATATTCTTTGTAAAACTGCAGCTTACGGATGTACAACAACCTAGTGGAAAGATGCTTTACAGATTGTGTGGATACATTCCGTCGGAAAACCTTGGACAAACAAGAGGAGACATGTGTGAGACGATGTGCAGAGAAGTTCTTGAAGCATTCGATGCGTGTTGGCCTTAGATTTGCTGAGCTCAACCAAGGTGCTGCTACTCAAGAATGAACTACATCTTGTTCTATTTTTAAACATATATATGCATTTATCCTTTGGTGAGAAGGAAAGGGATATTTGCTCCTGAGAATGATATTGGATTGTTGAATCCAGTTTCAATGTGGGTTGAACTTGAACATACATTTGTAGACAATGTTGCATACGTTGTTTAGCTACCTTTTCAATTGATCAATGTTTTTTAAGTAATTTTTGCCTATTTATATATGTTTTTAAATAAATCCTTTTTCAAGATTTACAAGTTCAAACAAGCAGGAGTGTGGATGACATCACTATGACACTCCCAAGGAGGAGGTCACAGGTTCGAAACTCATCCCATTCAAGGATGTTGACATTTAACAGAACAGATACTATGAGAAAAAGAGAAAGTTCATCCAAAAAAAGATTTACAACTTTACAAGTCCAACACAACTGGTTCTTGTGGACTGTGGAGTGTGGATGAAGGTTGGCTTATATTGGCTATCACCATTTGCACCAAAAACAGTGGTTTGGTATAGGGCTGTTAATGAACCGAGCTTTTATTGAACTATTCGAGTTCGAGCTCGGTTTCGAACCTAACGAGCCGAGCTTAATGAGCTTTCGAACTCGAACCCCAGCTGATTTTTAAGTTCGGAAAATTAATCGAGCCGAGGTTGCCGAGCTCAAACATAGTAGTATTTGGCTCAGTTCGAACATCGAATGCCTATCGAGAACACGAGCCTCATTTGTAAAGCTCGCCAAGCTTCAAGCTCGAACGCGAAAACCACTAATTCCTTATCGAGCCGAACTCGAGCTTTGGGTGTTCGGGCTTGGTTCGGCTCGTTAACAGCCCTAGTTTGGTGTCCTTAATTTGTTACCATCAAAATGAAACATGGCCGTGTAAAGTGTCCCTACAAAAATTTAGGGTACATTACATAATTCACTCTTAAACCTTGATTATGTGTTTTTTCATGGTTGAGTCATTGAATGGAAATCCCTCTTTGAATATCCATTTAGGAAAATGATGGAATTGTGGTTAAAGCAGTTTAATTTGTTGAATTATGAAAAATTATATTTTATTAATAAAATAAAGAATTTATATGAGAAAATAGTTGATATGGTTTCTGCAGTAACTTCAGTAAATTGAATTAAAAAATAACTTCAACTTTAATTATTTTGAGTGCTAAAGGGGCAAATAGGCTTCTGTACCGTCCGTGTAAGCTCAATTCAGTCTCTGAAATAAAAAAAAAGTTCAATTCACACCACGAACCGACAAAAGATGGTTCATATTTCATTTTTTAAAGGTAAACAACCGGTCATTTTTTAACTTTTTAATTGTTTCTGTTTATTATTTTTGATTTATTGCAATTTTGACACTTTTTTAATAGTTTAGGGTGCGAATTGTACCTTTTACCGATTGTTTAACCTTTTCTTGCCGGTTTGGGGTGTGAATTGGACTTTTTTTTTAGTTCAGGAGCTGAATTGAGCTTACAGGATCGATACAAGGGTCTATTTGACCCTTTAACCTATTCTGAGTATGCCATAATTCAGCGTATAAAATAAAAATTTATGTATTTGATGAAAAACTCGATTGATAAGGCGAAAATATGAGGTCACCAAACATGACCATGTGGTCAAGACACTCTTATAAGTTAGACCATCTTCATTCATTTTACTCAAATTAACGATTTTTCATGATTTATTATCGCCACATCATTGACAAGTAAATAATCTCAAAACCTATCAATTTATTCTCATCCATGATCTCAATTGTCCTAGATTTTTTATGGGACATACAATTAAATTCAAAATCTCTCACTTAATTCATTAAATGTACCCACGAGCCACATACACTCACAAGCAAGGAAAATGGTTACTTCAATGTTTAATTTGAAGAGTCACCATGCGTGTGATGCATTGGGAGTTGGAAAATGTCTAAAAGTGTGAGAATAACCTTAAAATAATCCAGATTTGATATTTAATACTAGATTTTTATTCAAAATAATCTTATAAAATAATCCTAACTCCTCAATCATGATCCTTAAAAAACTTTCACATCATTAAAATGATCCCAAAAAAATCGATGAATGAGGATGCACTTATAACTATCATTTCTGTACGTTTAATATACTCTGCGATCTGCATAGATGGCACACAAAATTGAAAAGCTTCCTTGAGGTTGTTTGGAAAAGCTACTACACAAAACAGATTGAAATTGTAATGCTATTGCTTAGTGGATGGTAAATGTTAAGAACACACAGGACTATTCATTTTAAATCTGGATTCATATTAGCTTATTTCAAACATTTTGTGGTTTAATGCATATGATATGTGATGGAGAATATTCACATACTCTATTTTGACTGCATTTTATATATTGATGTTTGATAATTATTTGTTTAAAAACATTGTTAAAATCATCTTATTACAAATTTTCATAATCTGTTTATTAAAGATATTTTTTCAAATAGAGAATTA